CTTAAAATACAGACAATCAAATCATCTATAAAATAAATAGTTACCTACCTACGTATATCTAATATAAATTTAATCAAAATTAAATGTATCTGAAAATATTTAGGATAGGTACATACATTGTCTGAAATGACATAGAGAAAGTATCAGAATAATATTTAATTTTATTGTATTTTCAGGTAGGTATATACAATATGGGTTAAATGCTATAAGTATGTATTTGTATTGAAGTAGGTTAAAATTAGAGTTTAAAATATATTTAAATGCATTGTAGTAGATAGTACAGACCATAATATATGTATCTACCTACATATATATATAAATGTAGTTAAATTTGATGCAAAATTCAATTTATTTACTTATAAGAATTTGTTAAAGGTACTATCTACCTAATTAATAAATGGTTAATGATTAAAGATAAATAATAAAACCTACTAGTATTAACCCTGATTATAAATTGTCTACCTATCTATTTAATATTGTTATACATCATATGTATAATGATTACTAATTGGTTATATTAAGCAAATTCATATTAATTTTACCATATTACCATATTTTATCATATTACTTTTAAACAATATCTTTTAACAAATCGTTTAATCTTTATATGGTACATTAATAGAAATATTAACCATATGTTAACATAAAATAAATTACACATAAAACTATAAGCAGAGCTATAAGTACCTACGCAGAATAATTAAAATGTTTTATTATACTCATTTTTGGCATGACGTACACAAATTTAAACATGAACACATAAATTACATTCAAATTGATTAAAATATTCTAATCTATTTTAGTTATTTTAATTAATATTGGCAAGTTTTAATTTTCAAAACTACTCCACAGGTTTGGGTTTCGGATTTTCAGTTTAATAGTCAATATTAAATTATAATTTATAATAAAGGTACACACTACTATCCTTATAAGTAGGTAACTTATAAATCTGCTCACAACCAAACAAATTTAAAACAAAAATGACCATTAATTTCAATATTCTATGGTACATTTAGTATCTATATGTAACTATTATTAGGTTTTCTAACTTAATTGATAGCAAATATATTAATGACTGCTGTACAAAGCTGTCAAAAAGCCCATGAATAAATCCTTGCATTCAAAATCTGATTGATTTCAATACCCCAAGGGTCCTACATAGAAAAACATTTAAAAATTATAAATTAGCTATCTTAAAAACAAAACCAATTTACTAAGTAGATAAAATTTTTAAAATGACTACAGACACAACACACAATTCTATCAATAAATAAAACAAACAAGTGTTGTATATTCTGTATCTATTTAAATATCTAGCAATGAGGTAGATATTCCCTAAGTACCTATTATCGGTAAGTATATATTTAAAATAAAACTAATTAAAGGTAGTGAAAAGTGTGGGTACCTACATAAACAAAATACTTACTTTGTAAGCTCAATTTTAAAAGTATTAAATGCAAAATTGCAAAAAAAATACTTGAATAAAGATTGTGATATAGATATGAAATTATAATTATTATTTTTCCATTAGATGAATACTCTTGCAGGTACCTACACACTATTTTCTTTTAATCAAAAAAAATGAACAAACCCTATTAGATTTTTATGACATCAATGATACTGGACAAATTGCAAATATAAGTCAGTTATACATATCTCAATCTAATAGATAATATAGGTACTAGAATAAAATTTAATAATGATGCCTAATATAAATGAATGCCTTATTATAAACCCATTGAATGTCTCGAAGATTACGATAAATAATGTACATAGGTATATTGAATAAAATTCAATTAAACCTTGTTAAACCAAAATCCTATTCATTTAAAAAAACAATAATACAGAAACAGTTGAACACATGGGTGATTTAATTCTGGATCTAATGATTAAACTTTAGAAGCTTCGACAATGGACACATCGGAATACTAATCAATAAATATTGGGCATAATATACATTTTTAACAAGGTATTAATTAAAAACTCATTGTTATGTAGTTGTACAGAATGTATTTATTGATTTGTATTGGTCTGTTAACTCTATTAATTAATGCAAGCCTGTGTAATATTGTTTTTAAGTATTGTAACTTTAATACCAAAAGGTTGTTATGCATTTATATATAAAGAAACAAACGATGATAGGTTCTACAACAGTGCTATTCGAACAAAGAAACTGTAGTCATATTATTTAATATGAAACGTTCACATACAATAATGTAAACAACTTGCTGCACAGTAAAAATCATTTTGGACAGGAAAGTCTAAGAATTTACAAAAAAAAATGAACAATAACAATAGAATACTATTTTGGAGTCCCAAGTACACCAATAAAAATTTAAAAATCGTCTCGAGCACCCAGTGTAAAATTAATAATGTTTTAATCGGTTGATGTGAATAACCTAATAATGTATTGTACAAATTTAAACAATAACAAAAACCAGTAATAACTAATAACAATGTTATATTGTTATTATTATCCGTTAGCCTAGAACTTTGGTAGAAAACCAGTAAATTGTACACTTAATGTTTTTTTTTTTTTCTTTATACGTCCAGTACGGTCCAGCACCTTTGGACGGGATCATAAATATTTATAAATACAAAAATTAAACAAGAGCCTGTGGACTTACCACGAGCTGGGTTTTATCACGGTTGCTGCAGGTTCAAACTGTTGCTCAATGGTATCCGTCCAGCGGTCACGAATCGCGATCGGAACATCACAGCGTATACGTGGGACGACGACACACACGGGACACACACGGTTCACGACGAATCGCCAACGGAAAATCTACGGTCACTGATGCCGGCCACAGCGCGCATCGCAATTCGCAATAACGTATTTTTGTGTACAACGGCGGTGCGCTCGGCGGTCGGTCGACGACGCGAATCAATGGTTACCGTTGGCCCAGGAGCAGCGCCCGACGATTAGTCGTATCCCCGGTACCGCTGCAGCCGACGCGTCCACCACCGCGCCAGACGGCCAAATTCCACCGCCATCTGGCGGCTCGGTCGCGAACAATGGTCCGGCAGTGTGACCGCCAACGCGCTGACGCAGACACAATCAAACGATACGGACCGCCGAAACGAGATAACGGAGAATTCGCGGGACCTTCGACAATCCGTTTAAAAATATGTGTAGAATGTGCGCAAAACAGTGCTACACGTCACATTAATACTGGACACTCATGACACAATTCGACCACCAGGTAACATGTGGGTTGTCTATATATTTTATTTTAATTTTTATTATACAGACTGGGCCCTTTTGAATATACAACATTAAACATTTGTGATAACAGGGGTCATTACAAACAATTTAAAACATTCAATTATACGGTTAATTAAACACGTTCCGCGAATATTAATATCCGCGGTTTTAAATCGTGATAATGACAAATTATTGATAAATGATAATAATATTTCTTTGTAATTTGTATCGTTAATCGTCAGCGCCTTGGATTTTACAATTCCACGTATAGGCAAATGCCGCACACAAAAAGATCCACGTGTTGCTAAATTCAACAAAAGGGTCAGTCACTAGGATCAAGACGCGTTCGTAAGTTCAGCGTTTCTTTAAACCCTAAGGTAATACCACAGTTATCTACACGTGTGTGTATCGACCGAGTTTAAACCTCGGCTGGAGGGAGAGTAATCAAGTGAATTGCTTTATCAACAATCCGTAAATATCCGACTGGACGAATAAAAAGGCGGATGGGTTTGATAAAAACTACGCGCCAAATTCTAATATTCTATTATCATATTTTTAATCTAAAAGTTTTATCTCGTATTAAAATCGCGTTTTCTCAGTCACTGATAGGCGAGTAGGTAGGTTAGGTTACACCTGTCTGTGTGTGTGTCACTGTCGAAATATATTTAACGTACGTATATACAACAATCGACAGCTACTGATGTCGAAGAAAGGTAAAATCGTTTAATATAAAACCACGAAATATATGGAATGTTCAGAATAACTTATGATCGGTAATTGGGGAAGAAAACGAAAAAATGTACACAATATAATGGTTTCGGTTTTTTTTTTTTTTTTGTATAATTCATGTTAAAAATATAATAAGGATCTGACGTGTAGTTACACAATACTTATTATGGTTTCCTAGCCGTGGAACCTAATTTTAAAATACTCTGGCGTTTTCTGGTGTTATTTATAACTATTTTAATTTTTTTAAATTTTTATTTAGTTAAACAGGAAAAAAATTCACATAGTAAAACCAATACATTCCACACTACATTAAAACTTTAAAACTAACTAAAATCTGTAGTAAATAGTCAAAGTGTACATTTTAATTCTATAAGTATTGGTAGCAGTGGGGAAGTATTGTGAAAACAGGATTAACAGTGAGACCCCTCACTGTTGTCGGTTCAAATAAATAAAAAAAAAAAAAAAAACTTATTGTAAGTATTTAATACTATCCATGCCACATGCATATTTATTTATTTTTTTTATTTTAACTCATAAAAGGTATAACAATTCAAAATATATGTATATATATATTAACTATTTGGGTACTTGAAAAAAAAGTTAATTACTCATCTAATTATGATATTACTTATAAAACTTTAAAATAAATATTCATGATAAAATGATTTTCTACATTTAAAAGATTTATTTTTAAATAGGATAAAAAAACATTACATTTATTTACAATTTTGCTAAATAATAAACATTGGGCATTATTTAATATTTATGTACATCTTAAAAGTAAATCAATATAAATAAATAGCTGATAATTACCGATGATAAAATTTTAAATGTATAAGTATAAAATGTAACGTCAATGATATAGTATAATATATTATTATATTATGTAAAATTGTAGTTAAAATTCTATGAGAAAGCTAATTAAATGTATAAGTTACGAATAGTATACAACATAAATAAAATTAAATAATTATAATTATAAAATTGATAAATCAACTAAATTTTAATTAATTTATAATAAATAAATACAAACATCGATAATTAATAATAAATAAAATCAAATTTACTTTGGAAGCAATATTAATGAACATTTTTATAAAAAGTGAGCCATGCAATTAAATTAATAAAATATATGTTAAGACAAATGATTCAAAAAATGTCTAGACTCAATTGCGGAATACTAATTTTAGAACATCTTCATTGTTCAAAAATAATCTAATCACATGACCATTAATGTTATTATTTTCAAGAACTATCATAGTAAATTGTGTATAACCATTATTGCACAATTTTAGTAGTTTATTTCTATCCACATTTTTCTCGTCCAAACCAAGTGCACAAAACATTACCAATGATTTATCATTTTTTAAAAATGGAGGAAGCTTATACAATTCTTTCACTCTTATTAAACTGTTGCCCATGTCTATCATAGCTACAACCTCGTAGTCTTTATAGTGCATGTATAATTTCACTCGATACCATTGATTATTCATAAGAGCTCCATAAATTCGACCATATCTTAATTTTTTTGCTCTGCATAAAGTTTTAATTTTACTTAACTCACTTAAAAAGAAAACTCTCCACGGTGTGTTTAATTGAACTGTTAATGCATTAATATGAGCCACCTTGCTGACAATCACTGACTTAGGTTCAATTAGTTTGGCTGCATTCAAACCATCAACATACAACTCAACTTTACATGGTTCACCAGTTTTTATTATAGTAATCATCATTTTTTTGTCTTTACTAAGTTCCATTTCATTGACAAAACTTTTAGATAAATAATAAAATAACTCTTTACTTCTTTTTTTTATGTTAGGCATATATAATGAGCATCGTTTAATGAATGGAGGGGCTGATTCTAGGTAACCAACTGCTTTGTAGAATTCTGAACAATATTCTTTAATACCATAGTCAACAAAATAACAAGTACATTTACCATCTTTGAATGTGTCTAAAATCCTTACTCTATACCATCGGTTGTCAGTTTCACTTTTTGCAATTACCATTTTACCAATTGTATATTCAGTCACCGGTTCCCAAGTTGGTATATTTTCAAGTTCATATTCAATTTTTTTTTCAATTTCCTTACTATCTTCAGTTAACACATAAAATTCATCTATGGAAGCAGTATAAATAAGATTTACTCGCATTTTGTCACCGGGCCGATCAATTCTTTTTAATGATTCATGTGTCTTAATAGTGATGCCATATGAAACTATGTTATTTAAACATATATTAATATTTCTTTTATCCCATTTCATTTTTACTAAATGAGGCTGTTTATTATTTAAAAAAGTCACAACTACGTCAATACAAGTCATGAACTCAAAAACTGTATTATAAACCTCATTGTCAGTTGTAATTATATATTCTGCATTGTAAACATTATCAAGCGTGCAATGATATGCCATAACAGGATAACTAGATAGTTTTTCGGGAAGTTTTTTAAAGCTTGATGATAATTCTGAATGGCCATAATCAATATATTCAACTTTGAAAGCAGTTCCCTCGGTATTCAAAACTTTAGCTCTATACCACAAACCACTTTGTGAATCTAGTGCAGCAAGTAGATCACCACGTTTAATGCAATCCAAAGTCAAATGTTCACTCTCAATACGTTGAAGATTGTTTAATATTTTTTCAATAGTTCGCTGGTCATTTTTATTATGTATATAAAAACTCTTCAATGAATTAAAGTATGAAATATAAGCATCAAATTTTTGTCCTTCCATATCAATAATATTCAAATTTTTACCAAAAAATTGTATATGTATACTACACAACATATGTTATATTGTGTCAAACGAAAAAAAAATAGATGCAAAACTGAAGTTATTTTAAGCCTGAAACATACCAAAACACTACATTATATTTTAATCAGGGAATACCAAAATGTATTCATAATAATATTAATAATGTGTATTATGCAATTATAAAATAGAATGCAAGGTACCTAATTTTGTATTATTATCTATAAGTACATAATTAAGTTTTGAACTAAAAAATGGACAAAATAGCTGAACATGCATAAAAAATAAGCAAAATTTGCATTTAAAAAGAAAATTTAAATATATAGTCTGTACTTGGGTTTTGGGAAAAAAAAATTTTAAATCCCACCAGATCGGTTCCAAATAATGAAAAAAAAGTAAAATTTACTTATTTTAATTATTGAGTATTACCCAATTGTTTACTTAATTTTACTCATTTTTTAGTGTATAAACATCCCAACTCTATCCATAATACACTTACATTAAACACAGACAGTTATTTGCACAATTTAGTTCAGAATAATTACCCCATTATTTTACTATTTATTATTAATCTTTTTATTTGTATTGTTTTTTTTTACATAAATTCTAGACTTTTCTATCTTTTTCTCCTTCATCTTCATACCAACTATTAGGGGTCAGCCAACCTCTTAATTTCTACATGATCCTTATTCGTTCCTCGCATACACCGGCTGTCCTCATATCATTCTCAATTGCATCCAACCATCTTATTTTCGGTCTTCTTTTCTACATTACAATGCTTGCTACTTCAAATTCCCCTCTCTCCATGGCATGCATAAACTATCTCAATCTCTTTCTTTCATTTTATCTACTATCGAAGCCACAAATAAGCTACTGCTTATCCTATCTTCTCTTGTTTCTTCACTCATCCACCTAAGCATTCTCATCTCTGTTACACTCATTTTTTGTTATATTTATCTGTCTACTGCCTGACACTCCAAACCAAACAATAAAGCCAGTCTCAGTACACTTATATAAAACTTATAAAAACACTTTATAAATGTAATGCTGTTTTCTTAAAATAATGCTTAAAAGCCCAAAAACATACTTATGAAAAAAACATTTTTTTCCAACAATATATCATTTACTTTATGGTTTATAACACACCTAGAACAAATAATTTTAGTTACTTTATAGAAGTGAATCTTCAAAAATGCTAAAATATTTTTTTTACAGAAATTACCCCCAAACTTTTTACCTTATTTCAAAAAATATTTAGCATTTTTAATGTCATTAAATATCATATAAATATTTAATAATATAAAAATGTTTTCAACCATATTATAATAATAGGTAGCATATAATAGAATATTATAGAATATGGCTTGTTTTAATTATATAAAATCATCATATTATAATCAAGATTTATAGAGAATATTATAAATCTAACCTTCACTCACTACATACTTATTAGAATCACCCAGTGAATTTTAATTTTTTATCAGTAAGGATAGATTATCAGTTAAGCTACCTTTTTAAACCAAAAACATAAAAGTTCAATTTAAGAATTGATCTGTCAGGACATACAAGATATTTTCATTATGTAGATAGGTAGGTACTAATAATAATTATGGCAGAGTAACTTTAACACAGATTTTCCACTACTGTCTTAAATAATTGACTAATTCATATAAATCTAGATAAAATACCATTATTAAAATACATACCAATCAAGAGCCTAATAAAAGAGAACCAAATAAAAATTCAATAGTGCAAAAACTAAATTATACTTTACATACAGTAGGTATTCACTATACACACACTTGAATCAATTTTGTTTGTTTAAAATATTATTTGATAATTCTTACATGGCTGATTTAAATTTAAAATATTGTATAGTTTTATGATAATAATATTCGATTACACAAATACTTACGCATTTTTTCAACCAAAGTTTCATTTGGATCGGTTTAATTCAATAATAATAAACATTGTAGGTATTTTTCACTTGCCATCTTATTCTTACAATCGAATTGTAGTAGACGTTTTGATGTTGCAAATATTATGTTAATTTGACTTGGATATATATAGACTTGATATACGTACCTGTGTCTATATAAACAACTTTTGTAATATTAAAAAATAATATTGCACTAAAAGTAATGTAACTGCAACAACCAAAACGACACTTAATACTCAGGTATCTATAACGTATTCACGTGGACAGGTATTTACTGGACAGGTATTAAAATGTTAAATCACCGCATGTGAGAAAAATCAATTTATTGTAATTAAAACAACGTATAACAACTAAATACGTTGCACTAACGGAAAACAGAAAACAGTTTTCAATAATGGACGAGCCCCCTTTAGAAAAAAAAAAAAAAAAACATTACGAAATATATGTACACATGATTAGACATTAGCGATTATAATTTTTATAAATAGTTACGGAAAACACGCGGTGTCGCCGATACGTACAAAATCATTTGACTTATATCATGACCACGGTAATCGGCCACGGCGTGGATAAGTACCGCGGTCGCTCTAAAATAAATGTGTGCCCTAACTGTGTTTTCATAATATGTATACCCAAAGGGGTGAAAAAATCTCTAGTTTTCAACTCACGTTTGCATTCTCTTCTCTTGCACTTTACGGTAAGTTGATACTTGATTGTGTTGAGTGATAGAAACAACCGGAGAATACGAAACTGCAGGTACCTACCTCCTTAAATCTAAATATATACTTTATGAGCAGCTATTAGTACCTGTATTAAAATTGTTTTGTTCTGGGTACATTTAGTTTTTTAAGTTTTGTATTACTTATGTCAGTAAACAAACAAACATTTTCCATGCTCATTTGTGTGCAATTTTTTATATAAATACATTATATTAATTAATTACAATAAATAACATTAACTCAATCACAGTTATCGTTTATCCGTCTTCAAACTTGACCAATGCCTGAATAATATAAACATCAGTAGGTATTTACTTTATATATATTAGTTGTTGAAACTCTTTAGATAACTCCTTATTATTGTGGCGAATGCAACCTAAGGTACGTTATAATTTCCAATTTCTTATCAATGGTAAAAGACTTGGTATACGACCAAACTACGACGGAACAGTGTTTCCAGAGACACTACCTAAGTCTATAATTATAGCTTAATAAGTATGAAATGACAATTCAAATTATAATTTTTCATTAATCTGAATTTGTAATTAAAACAAATAATAGCAAAAATACAAATTTGGTTTTGTTTTTTTTTTCCCCGTCCACAATAATTACATTCCTATAAAATATCGTTCCTGTAATATATCTAATTTTTTCCCAATAATTTTTTTTTACAATTTTTACGCACTCCCGTTACAACATATAATTATATGTCTATACGTTACGACGTGCTAAAGTGAGCTTTAACACACAAATTTTGAGCTAAAGTGATAACGGGTATCAAAATTTTGTTTTCGTTAAATGGCCACCTTGAAGCTTTATCAAACATAAACTCATGTTGTAAATAATAATTTTTGATATTGAACAAATATCGTATAAATTTTCAAAAATTTCGTGTGATTTGTTGATTTCAAACTTGTATTTTAGTTATACTTCAAATCATTAAATATCCGTTACCCCGTCAATAATAACAATAAAAACACAAATATGTCAACTTCCGTAGCTACCAATCCGTCGACTTTACTCCCTCTCGGTAAGTGATGTTAAAAAATCAATTCAAAAACCGTTTTTAAGTTTGTGTCACTAGCAAAATAACATTAGTTTTAGAAATCATAATATTTTGTAAAATTAATTAATTAACTAATCAGTTAACTATTGCTGTGTATAATATATATTTTTCTAACTTATCAACTTATAATTTATTTAACAATTCCAAATCATTAACAATTCAAATAATGCATTAAAAAAAATTAAATTGTATTATATACTTATCAAAACTACGTTAATTTAATACCCAGACTAAGCAGATACCAAAGCAAGTAATGAAGATGATCATTTAAATATCTTATTATGGTTTTAATTTATGACTTAAAAATGATAGAATATATTATATTGTAAACCAGGGTTATATACTCGTAGATAACTAGTAGATAACCATGTTGTAACCTATATATTATTTATTAAATTTGAACTTTTTTTTATCATTTTAATTAATTTAAATATATTTAAACTATTTGTGAATACTCAATTAATATTTGGAATTTTATTTGTATTTCTATCATATATATATATATATATATAATTATATACCGGCTATTGGTACATTTTTGCTTTCTTAAACTATGTAGATATCTAAATATTTGTTTTAAATTGTTTTTTTTAGAACTTGTAGATAAATGTATTGGCTCCAGAATTCACATTGTCATGAAAAATGATAAAGAAATAGTTGGCACATTATTAGGATTCGATGATTTTGTGAATATGTTGCTTGAGGATGTAACAGAATATGAATCCACACCTGAAGGACGACGAGTCACAAAATTGGACCAAATATTACTAAATGGAAATAATATAACGATGGTAAATTTAATACATTATTTTAATATACAAGTTTAATGAAAACATAAACTTGTAATATACCTACATTTAAATATTATTTTAGCATACTTAAGTTTTGTATTATTTATTTTTAGTTGGTTCCTGGTGGTGAAATGCCTGGTGAATAGCATCCGACTGAAAACTCATTTAACAAAAATTGTATTTTTACTATTACTAAATTAAACATCAATTTTGTATCTAAATTTAATTTACTATCATTTGTAAATATAAAATTAAATATATAAAACGATGTTACTCATTAGTTATTAAATATTTATTGTTAAAACTATAGTTTATAATATTCGGGTAGTATATACTATACATCTAAATCTTAAATATAAATATAAATTTTGAACTCTGATAAAATGAATACCTAATTGAACCTGGTATAAAACAATTTTTCTTGATGTCAAGTTTTTATACACTTCTATTCCTAAAAGCGATAAGTTCAACATTTTAAAAAATAAATAAACTTACACTTGTTAAAAAATTCAACAAAAATGAAATACATGACATTATTCAGTCAAGAAATGTAATTATAAATTAAAAATGTTTTATATGCTAAAAGTTAAAGTTTTGCCATGTATGGCCAATAAGTACTCTTATCTGATATTTACTTGCCAGATTATGAAATTAATAATAATAGGTTTCAATAACATAATTTACAATTTGCATATTAAATTGCATATTATATTTATTTTAGATACGTTAATGACAGATGCGTTTTTTTTCAAAGGATCAATTAGACAACTGAGGTAAAATATTTAAATAACAAATACATCACATTTCTTAGATTGTTAGGTCTAATAGTAAACATGATAAAAATTTTAATATGGAAACCATTAGAAAAATTCACAATGATAAAAAATTAATATAGTGTAGAATCCTACTAATATTATTGTTGACTATTTATTGTATTATAAATAATAATTATAATAATATTTCCAATAAATCTTCTAAAATTCTAAACAATAATTATTATAATGTTTATCACTTTCAAGACCAATAATAATTAAATGAAACAATAAATCATATTGCTATGAACTTCACGAAAATATTTCCTACTTTTTATAATGCTTGAGTATGTAAATTTAAATATAATCGTAATAATTTGTTTATTAGTAAAACTAATATGAACTTTAAAACTTATTTTAAAGATTATATTTATAAAATACAATTAAAGCAACTATTTCCTAATTCTAGTTTACATGACATGTTTTAGAAAATAAATAATCATACTATTGATGTTAATATAAATTTTAAATAGCAAGACAAAATTTGCATACATTTTTAATTGTAAGAGTTGCATGTTTATATTGAAGTTAAGTAAAATAAGTTTAAAAAAAATAAACATCAACACTTCAAGTGTTTTACGTGTATAGCACTAAGAACCATTGACATATGTTAACACACCGAGCCGATAGAACATGAACTAAAATTTATCATGCCGAGTATTTGGGATTAGTAACCCTAAAGTAAAAGACAAGTTTCTTTTATTTGTCACATTATTAATAACCCTATGTCTGTATGGTATCATGTGGCACTTCATTGCAATATCAGTTCATCGTGCAACACTTCATCACATAGTGAAAGTTGAGAAGATAGGATACAGACAAAAATTTAATGTATATCTCGGAGTTAAGTTAATAGTGTTGCTTTGTCAACAATGTATATGTCATATGGTAAACTGATTACAATAATGAGCATTTCCATGACAACAAAGATTGTTTAAAAAATATTAAAATAATAACCAAAAATAAATAAAAACTGTTGCCAATGACAACCTTATTTTAAATTTTTTAATCTAAAGAACCAGGTTTTCCTTATTATCTCAAATATTAATGAAAATTTCAAAACATGACCTCACTAAAGTAGCATCTAAGAACATTTTCTTTCAAAAAAAATGCTATACCGGAGTAAGTTTTCTGGTAAAAACAGTGTTCACATAAAAAAAAAATAAACATCTTTGTAAAACCCCAATACATTTTTCGCTAAACTCAGAATATTAAATCAATAATTATAAAACAAAAATAATTTAGACACTACACTGTTGTTATACTATAATATTATAACAGCATATCTCGTATTATTGCAGTAAATACACGAGAGAAAATAATAACAATAAATACATACTTTGTACTTAGAGTGATCATTATGAATAGTTATAAATTTACATCCTTGTGTATCCTTGTGATAAAATAATTATGCAATGAATTGGAAACCATTATAACCTCCTATATGACCTAAGTGAGAATTCAGATCCTGCAAAATCTGCTTATGATTAACACCACATAATAACTATTTTATACCTTACCATATCAAATATAGTTCATAGAGGTTATAATATGGTTTAACATACTTTTTTTAAAAAATCTATTGATGAATACGCTAAATTTTAAGACATAAACAAAGACAAGTTGATTTTCAAGCACAAATTAATGTGTGTTTCAAATGGTGAGTTTTTGATTTCTATTTTTTAATTGGAAAGTATTTAAATAAAGATTTTATGGATGGCAGTTTTGAGATGAAAAAAACAAGAACAGTTTCCTTGTGACTAAAGTGCACTAATATCAAATAAAGTAAAGACCTTATTATAATTTGTGCTCATTTATATTTTCAAAAACACATATGCTAGGTTAGGTTAGGTTTTATCACCAAATTCAACCTCATCTATTGAAGAATTATAAATAAATAATAAATGTGTAGGTAAATAGAATTAAGTTACTTTTTTAGTATTGACTGTTCAATGTTTTCATTATTGTAATTTAATGATTTCCTAAAGTTTTTAATTGCAAATTATTATCCAAATCTATAATATTATAATTAGTTTTAATAATTGTTATTGTCATCAATGTAGAAGTATATTTATATTGTTTATTTAACTGATAATTTTAACTGTTAATGCTATAGTCTAGAACTTCAAACTCAAACTAAGTATGAAGTGCTCTTTATCTTTATAATTGACCATTTATCTTTCATAATGATCTATCATTTTTGATTATAGAAATTGCAGATAAAAATACATAAATCATAATAAAATACAAATATTTATCTAATTTTCTCTTGTATATTACTTTTGAAGTTTTAAATACAATAATTTAATACATTTACTGATTAATACATTTACAAAAACAATATACGCAACCTAACAGTAGGTCAAATTTATAATATTAAAACAGTTAATAATCATTGTATAAATAATATATTATCATGTATATAATTAATAATGTATTGAAACAATTAATAAATGAGCGCATTAGTTATGTATATATATATATATAAAATAGTATTATATTCAAGTGGCGTGAAACTATATAAAACAAATACTATAAAGTATTTGATAACGTTATTCTTACATTTAGAATTTATTAAAATTATAATATGCGGGTGATGATTACACATTCATTTGAAACTTGCACAATGGTTGATGATGTTAATCCGTAAACTTTCATATTGGATTACACGTTCACGTTTAATAGTCCTGTGGAACAATTAATGTAGGTACAAAACTACAATAGTACTTAATTTTGACAACTCTACAGTGTAAACGAAGCGTTTATACTTCTAGTAATTGTAGCGATTATCAAATCATACAGTACAATACAATTATACAGCTGGTATCTATATTATACATTTACAACGGATTCTTGATTCGTCAGGAGCATATGTTATGAGACCAATGTCACCGAAAAATTAAGCAGCCTTGCTCGGTTACTGGTTGAGTTAGTCAAGTTTTATTAATACAATCCTATTCAATTCAATCCGGTAAAAAATTCAATCGCGTAATTTAAATTTTAAAAACCCAGCCAGCTTCAAAACGTCAGACAACCAAGTTATTCATAATTTTTCTTTAAAATCGGTATGCCGCCATTTATTATTATTATTGTCAATCATAGATTGAAACTGTTGGCGTTTATAAAATGTTTTGAATAAAGTACCGCTAGACGGATGTCCGTATGACGGCATGTGGGTGCGATGTTTTATTGGATCGATTTTACCAACCGAAGTGTTTTCTATATTAACTTGCTTAGACTTCTATGAATCGAGAACAAAGGGATTTAGCTTTGATACCAATTAACGTTCTATAAATTCGTGATTGGAACTTATCGAAAATTAACTACATTTATTTATCTCATTAAATCTACAGGGTTTTTTTTTTTTTTGCTCCGACAGGTACTCATAAGCAGTGGCTCAACTAGGGGGTGAGGTGTTTTGGGTGTCTGGACCACAGACCTATAAACATATACACTGTAAACACCTATATTATCGGGTCTATGGCATGAACACTCCCCTGTATCCGTGTAAATGTATTAAAAAAAAAAAAAACGTGTTTTTATTTATAATGTAGACATATGACACTCCCCCTTCAAAAAAATTACGGTTACGTCACCGCGCATAAGTTGTAATAATGCGATGAGATAATTTACGTATAAATTACCGTAGAATAAATTAGGTCGGACGACCTGCTGTCGGCCAACGCGCGACAACCGGACGCCGACGTCGGTCGTCGTCGGCGGCAGTACGCGTTGCCCGCGAACAAAGCGACGCCGAACACAATTATGGCCGCGGTGACGGCGCCGAACAGCATAACGGCCGACGACGGTGCGTAATCGCCGAACGACGTGGAAGCGGTCCGGGGGTGACCGTCCCGGTACCATTCATCGCACGTGGAGGGCGACTCGTCGTTGAGGGCCCCGGGACAATTGATCACTCCGTTACACACCGACCGGGCGGGCAGGCACAGGCGCTTGTCGCCCGGGCACGAAAACGCGCACTCTGCGTCTCCGTCGAAGTCAGCCGCGGTCCGTCGGGCCGTGCGCTGCGTGCCGTCCTGGTTCTTGGGCAAGTGGGTCAGCTCGGACCACGCGATTTTGAACTGGGACTTGTGCGGGTAAGCGTTGCCCACGAACCGGACGTGAACGTACCGCCGACGCCGCCGACCGTTGTGCCGGTGTCGCGACGACTCGCCGATGACTGATGCCGATGACGAAGACGCTTCGATCGGAGCTTCTTCGACTTCTTTGGACGTCAATAGCGGCAAGTCTTTGAGCGCGGTAGCGTTGTGCCCACACGCCGACATAAATGGGTAGTCCGCGGATCTCGACGGCAGGTACACCTCCAGCCGGCCGTCCCGACAAGAGTCCGACACGAAATTAATCTGCAACAATGTTTACACGTTATTGTAGTACTTAGCCTTTTCGAGTACACTAGAACTGTACGTCAGTGGCTGATCCGGAGTTGAATTTTGGGAGGGAGGGTTTTAAAAAAAAAAAAAATGACTACTAAGCAGAAAAAAAAAAAAGACAAAAAAGAGGTAATACCGGTGATAGATGCAGCTACTGTTGTTGGTAGGTGGGAAATTGAAAAGGTAGGACACATTAGGTTATTTAATTTATACCTGTAAGCACCGATAAACCATTGTTAACTTATTTTTCGATTGAAGTAAGATTACCGGTAGGAAATTTGTTTAAAGACAAAAATAAACACATTAGAGTACAATCAATACATTCATCGCTCCTCACCGCTTTTCTTCCTTAAAAATCTCGTATTATGTATGCGTTAAAAAATTAATTATTTGCTGAAGTAAAAACTTTTGCTTCTGTCTCCCCCTCCCTCCTCCTGGATCCGCCATCGTTGCATACGGTCGCAACGCTTTCACATACAACATTAGGTTTTTTTTTCATATCTAATAAGAACATACTTTTAGGGTTTACCTTACATTTGGCGAACGAAATGCACTGCATTGGTATAGATAATCGAATTCCTCGGTGTACGTAGTTGAAACAGTGGATCAAGTTGAACACAACATCAGTATATTACTAGTACATTATAAGATATTACACAGGGAATTTAAAAGAGAAATCTTATTAACACCCCCACAGTGACCATCACCCGGAAACTCCCCCATTCCCATCCGAAAAAAAAGTGAACCCATCATCGACGAAACAGCGGCAAACGGACAGAGGCATAGACGAAGATTAGGGTACCTAGCTATAGAGTGGAAGCCTCTGGGAAAAATACCCGAGAACGGATGAATTGACAATGTAAAACAGGATTCAAGGAATAGGAATTCAAAACTGGAAAAAAAGTTGTTCAAGATGGAGATGTGTGAAGTATAGTAATGACGGCAACAACTTTCAGATAGTAACAATGCCGTTACAAGAAGAAGAATAAAACAAGCAATTTTTGGTAGGTATAAAACAGTAATTTTTGTACCTAATGTTCATCGAAAAATTACAACATCGACTTCGTATAATATTATAATGTCACACTGATTAGTGACTTTTCCTTTGTACCGTATTCACAGCGATTTTTAGCACATACGAGATTTAATCGAGATCACCCATACAAGCTTTTGTCCAATTAGAATAATGATCACCCAAAGTGAACAGAGACTGAATACATACTTATTATAGCTCTCTACGCTCGTAATTTGTATATAGTGTACCGTGCAATTGAGTATCCAATTACCTAAGTTTAGTACAAAGAAATAAACATCTTTGGTTCCAGGGAAGTAGACCTTAAGTGAATTTTGCATAGTTCTCAATACAAGAAAACTATATTTCGAAAATCCATACACTTATACGATTTAGATCAAATAATAATAATAAAAAAAAAAAAAATGCATACCTATATGACATGTTATGACATAGTGGGCCAATATTTTCCTAACAACCTAAGAATTTCGTTGATCTCGAGAAATCGATTAAATAATGCAATAATACATAATATATAATATATAATAATATAATATATATATATATATATATATATATATGTTGTTTTCTACTGGTAACCTATAAGTAGAACTCCATAATATACGAATAGATAAATTTGAAATAAATAAATTATACGTTTTCCAGCACGAGTTTGTACGCGTGTGCAAGTAAATTATTATATGTAGAGTGTGTGTGTGTGTGTGTGTGTGTGTGTGTACGGGCAATCTTAGATAAACCGTACATTATAATCACCTGATTGAAATTTAACCACAAATCCTTATCCTCGTGAACGCGTATCTCCCAAATACATTCGAGAGTTTTCGGCGGCTCAACAAATCCCATGGCATCGAATCGCGGGAATATAAGCTCGCCTTCGTCAACGGGTTGAATAATTGATGGTCCGCACAGAGGACCGTGTACGAATTCGTACCTGGCTTCAAACAATGGCACGTCGTGCGTGAAATAACTAATGGCTGCGTATAATGGATTCAAGCTTAACTCGACATTCAACGAGTTTCCGGACGATATAAATTTTATTCCTCCGGTATTCGGAGCAGTGGTTTCAGTTTTATTAATATTGTTGAATAAACACAGGCCGTTTATTTTGTTTGAGTTGGACTGATTGATAACCGTTCGGTTCACGCCAAACGCCGTTTCGTTGGTCTCCTCCGGCTCCCATATTAGTAATTTGTCACGTTCACTGTACCAACAGTTACTGTCCTTTTCAATGGGTATCCTATAATCATGATCCTGTAAAACATCAGAATAAAATTTTAGCCAACCACATTGGCTGTTAAATTCCTGAAATAGGTTTTTACCCAGCGGAAACACTATAAACTTGAATTAAACTTTATTAAACATTACACAATTTAATACCAACCGGGGAACAATAAAATATCTACAGAATTAGATTTTTTTTTTTTGTGCTACCTAAAAATGTATTTAAATTTAAGGTTTTAGAACTCATAAAATCATTATAATGACGAATAATTATGATAAATAACTTTGCTTTTTGTATACATTTCAGTGTTATACTATCGTAACATAAAATAGTTTTTAACTTGTAGTAAAGGGCATTCGCAAGTAAAAACAACGAATTAAAATGAATTGCTAGAGTAAATATTATTATTGTAGGTACTGTCCAACGCCCACATCAATCTAACGTCGGCTAGGTGTACATAATGACTCAGTAAAAGACACTGCGCTTATCAAACAAGCACATGAAAATACAATAAGTACCTGTATTAGTCATTATCATAAAACATATTGGCTGTTTGTAATAATTATACTTGCACGTCATTTGAGATACAGATCACTGTAGTAGTGCCAATTTTCAGTTTATATTATTATAATATTAAACATATCAATATAATATGGAATGTGTCAAACAGTAGGTACTTAAATACCTTGAATTGTATTGATTCGATTCTCAAAACGATACGCGCAAACAGCCGGATGTCCGTTGTAAATTTATAACGACACACTATCGGTAGAGATTTTACATCGGGATTCGTTACTGTTCCTTGACGTTTATAAACCAGTGTGTTCACTGGTGATCTAAAATACCCCGATGATGGCTTCCAGCTAACGAATTCTTCGTCACATACCGTATCCGGTACAGCAGTACCAAATTTTGTGTTGTTGAAAAAATCATAATGAGCCCAATAATATAATGACGACCTGTGAAAACAAATCTTTATTTCAACAAGTGTAAAAAAAAAAAAAAAAAAACAATATATGAATAATTATTCGAACTATTTTGATTTTTAGCTATTTTAAGTACACCTATCTATTAGTATTCTATTTTATTCAAACTTTTACCCCGAATAACTGCCGGTTTTGCTTTCGAATCGAATAAACATGGAATTCCCTGTTGAAACAAAATCGTGTTTTTCAGCTGGTTTTGAAAAAGTATCACAAAATGTTTTTATAATCTTTGTATCGTCTGGTTCTGCAGCATCGTAAAGCGTTAAACTTTCGCCACAGTCGCCGGTCCAATCACTCGTTACAGGACTTTCAATGCTATTAACTCTAAAACTAAATTTTAAATTTAAAGTCATATTATTATTATTTTTTATCAAGATTTGTACACATGGATAATTTTACAGTCATAAATAAGGATTATGACTTTGGGGTTTAATGCTATTCGCCTGAAATGCAACGTTACAATCAAAATTTGATGATTATTTTTCAAATAATTAAAGTTAACGTATCTAATGCAAACGTTTAATATACCAGACTAATTAAAAACTTCCATTTAGACAATTTAGATAATTAAGGTTTTTTTATTTCCCAACCTAACCAATATTTACAAACTTCATGTAAGAGGTTTTTCTTTTTATAAATATTAATTTATGGATTATTAGGTTTAACTGACAAATTTGTGTTAATAAGTATATCAACTAATCTAAGTTCAAAAATGTGCAGTTAACTATTAATACATTAATTATGTCGGCAATACCTTGGAAAATAGACTCGTACTATTTGATTCGACAGGCCCAATAAATGATATGTACAAGAAGTATGCGGAGGATACCAGTGAGAAATTGACATAAAAATACCCTCGGTATGATGATCTTGGTTTAAATGCTCGCTGGATAATATCCAATCACAGGAACCATTCTTTTTCCCAGCAGTTTGCATGTGACCGGGCATAACACCAACATTAAAATGAAAACCAGTGTTTAAAAGTGGACCTTCAAAATAAACGACAAACAATATTATATTCAAAATTTAAATCAGTTAGTTACATACAATTATAAATAATTTTCTTTTGAAAAACAGTTAAATGCCTAATAGCGTTTAAACAGTTTTAATACGTATAGGTATTTTATTTTAACAGTTTCACCTACGATGTGTTTTTATCAAACTTTTACAAGTAATTAATGATAATTAATTATCACCGGTTGATTGTTATTATATTTTATGTGGGCACACAATTTAAATCAGATATTTTAATTTTAATTTCAAAGTTTTTATAGAATAAGTAGTACCTACCTATACGTTATATTACTCACACCTATATTTGCTTTTCCATTACTTTATATATAGTTTAAATAGTCATACTGAACTCATATTACATATAAGAAAGAGCATAAAATAAACAACAAGATATTAGAGTAAAATAAGCTTATATACAGTTTATCGAAACTTTTGATGGCAATAATAATTTGTTGACTTATATGTTATAAGTTAGAATAACAAATTTCACTGTATAATGAATGTGCTGTAAGATTTATGTTAATTAAGTTATTCAACCGTAGGTAAAACTCACATCACGTTTAAAAATAAAGATTTCCGAATAAAAAAATTTCGTTGAAATAGGTGCATTACATTATAAATAGGGTGATATATTTTTTATTTGTCTTTGTAGATTGTATGTATTAATATTTTTCTTTCGGCTCACTTGTAAATACTACAATATATATTATTTGTTAGTTTCCATACTGATTAAATGATTTTAGTTTTTATTACCTATTTACCTATATATTATACAAGTTAATAGTTTCATACCTGCTGGAGATGTAATGAATTCCACAAACAAATCTTCACTTGTACCAACGATTGAATGTGGAAATTTTCCCATTCCACAAAAAGTTCCAATCTCTGGACTTGATGCATTTTTACCATCGTATATTCTTATGTAATCATACGGACAATATTCAGCTCCTGAAATACATGTTTAACATTAGTTTTCATATAGATCATTAATTAATAGTTATTAATTACCAAGCCCGTAGCCAGACCAAATCATCAGGTGGGGCAAACCAAATTTTAGGAGGGGACATTAGACAAAAACAATATTAAGTAGGTTCGTATATTTGTTGGGGGGAAACAAATTAGGTCCAGGGAGAAATGCTCCACTTTACTCCCGTGGCTACGGGTCTGTTACCTACCTATATATTAACTCTAAATGGGTCAATTTAGTTATTTAACTGTAGGTACCTGAAGTGATCGGTCTCATTGGGCATGTGATTATATTTTCACAACGCTGACCGTCTACGTTGAATTCTTCATTTTGTATATACAGCTTGATAAACTTATTTTTAGTGTTCAACCAATAATTGCATTTTAAATTTCTTGGATACACTCCTGGATACGCTGGACTTTGAACATAGCACGTTTGAAGTCTACATTCCTTAAATATTCTGTCACAGTAACTCCTAAAGTATCCATTGATTTATATAAAGAAATAAATAATTCAATAGACTACATTATCATTGATTAAGTACCTACCTATACTCATGTTATTATAAAAATAGTTGTTCTTATCGTATTTATTAAAACTTTATAAGTGTCAAACAGTGGCGGCGCCAGGGGTGGGCCATGGTGCGGCCCACCCTGTATGATTACAAAGAAATTCTGTTTTACATTATATATTATATTTTTAAATACATAGATATACGAAGAAATGTAGAGATCATAGTTATATTTTAGATTCTGAGTGTAGCGAAAAATGTGTTGGTTTTACAAAGATGTTCATTTTTAAAATTTTTATTTTTTTGTGTGAACACTTTTCCTACAAGAAAATTTACTTCGATAAGTTCGATGTATATGATGTAGATCTTTTTCTGAAAGAAAATTGTCTTGGGCTGGTACTTAAAGGAGGTCATTTTTCGATTTTTCAGGAGTTTTCCCAGCAAATGTGAAAAACAGGGAAAATCGGTATATAATATTAAATAATTATTATTAAAAAAAAATATTTATAATGCCTATTAAATAATTTTTACACAATAATCCCCGCCGGATTGATACATAGGTATATCAAGGAAAATATTAGCCTCAGCTTGGCCCACCTGAAGTAAAAGTTCTGGTGCCGCCACTGGTGTCAAATAGCTAGATGACTATTAACTACCTACAATAGGTAACACACTTTGTCTAAATATTAATAAAAAATTGTGCGTAACTGTGTATGATATACATTTGTAATTTCGTGATCACTTAAGGGGATCACATTTTTCATCATAAAATATAGGTACTGTAATGATTATATTTCTAACCCGGGATTCAGTATGCCTCTTCTATTAGGATAGAGTTCCGGATGTTGTCCATATCGTAAGTATACTTGAGTTTCTTGTTCGGCTCTTGAATCGAAACTATAATAAGTTTGGTCCGTAAAATTATTTGTCTGAAATATAATACGAACTGAACTTGTCTCAGACATGAAAGTTTGCGGTTGTTCAATTTCGCCACAATACGATCCTGGTACATCTTTTTTAGACGTGATTGTGGCCGCGTTACCTTTGCCCGAATGATCGAATATCTTAAATAAAATAATTTAAATACTAGAATATTAATACGTCAATATTATTAATTGTATGATGGTTTGAAATTACAAGCATATAATATTGTATACTTGAAGGTGTAGGTACCTAAAATATATGGTAATAGTATCTTAATACGATAATATAGGCATAATACTTTACTTAAATAGGTACTTACAATATCTACTATAATCATAAGCGCGCGTAGGTTTTATTGGGAGAGTAGGTAATGATTTTTGAAAGTAAACCTTACACAAAAATCATAAGCACAAATAATGCAAATAATTTTGGAGAAGGCTTAAGCCCTTATAATATTGATTATGTATAAGTATTAACTCGATGAGGGCTTTATTTTAGGAGGCTTAGTTGAGTGTTCGGGAGGGAGTCAAAATCCTCCAAAGACTATTTCCCTGTTTGAGCTTATGCAAACAAAATAAGAGTAGCTACATTATGGTTTAATATTAAAAAAAAAAAAAAAAAATGTATATTTAATATGTTTTTTTTTTTTTTAAAAAAATATTTTGACCATAAACCTCGAAGGGGAGACAGCCGTTTCTCATGCCTCCCCCCGTGCGCTCGCTTATGGTTATAATATACTGATTATAAATACCTAATAAGAAATAAAACAAAATCAATTAGTTAGGTACAAGAAAATCTCATACTGTTGAAAAAGGTTCAATAACAGAACAAATGTATGTTCTACATAGCTATCAAAATTGTTTAAAACTATCTATTTACTTATAAGTAATTTATTTAGGTACTTATAGCATGTAGGTATTTATCATTTTGTTATATAGTTTATTTACTGTTTATTTAATTAACATATTATATACAATAAGTCATAGTTGTATGGGAATCGAAATCCAGTATAAAAACGGTCATAAATTGGGTAAAAAGTAAGTTACCTACATCATTTAAGTGGGTATTACTCATTTGATATGTAAGCGATAGTTCTTTCAGGGTTTCGCTTTACGTCACGTATTAATACTTCGGCACTTTGGCAATTCGGCGAAATAAAATAGGTACCTACCATTCGAGTGAATTATTGTAACCCCCGAGGGAACCATAAAATTCACAACTGTTGAAATTTAAAAGAAACTATCTGCAAACAGCTACTCGGTTTCTCGACTGTGCTTAGTTATTTATTTCCTTATCGTGGAAAATTCAACAATTTATTTCTACATAGGTACCTATTATTTTTGAACATAGATTTCGTTTGAGACTATATAGGTGTCATACATATTATTCGCAAAAAGTTAATAGTGTATATTATTATAAAGGTACCTACACAAATAATATAACACAACAAAATGAATGTAAGTAGGTACCTATTTATTGCAAGTTCGAAAATAGTATCAATGTAATCGTGTAATAATAAGTTAATTTCGGTTTTCTTTAGGTTTTCAACGATATTTCTGTCCCTCGCGTACTGATTTTCTCGCAGCTATGTTTATTCTCAGAAAATTACTACTTTACAATAAAATATAAGTACATAAATGAACAAAATAATTACAGTGTAAGTAGGTACTCCATTCGTTACGGTTTACATACAAGTCTATATTATGATTTATCTTTATCATTAGGATAATAATCTTATTAGAAATTTGGTTTATTTTACAAGTCAATTATTAACATTTTGAATTTCGAACACTTTTATTGTACGGTAGGTACTTAGTAGATAGATAGGTAAGTAGTACTTACTAAGTACTTTATTCAGGTGTAATGTAAAAAATAATTATGTGTCACAAAATTTAGATATGTGCCGAGAAAAATACCGATTTTAAAAACGGTATTATTAATAAAAAATAATAAGCAATATTTAGTATTTACTCAAGTTTTAGCAAATTGTATTTAATATTAAATAATATAGACTGACAGCTGGTGGTAATCAAATAATTTTGTCATCAGGGGAGACGGATTTTTTTAATAACTATTGTTATTTAAATTTATATTTTATTTGTATACAAATAAATACCTATGTAATACTATAATAGGTATAATATTTACTATTATAAATATTTAAGAGGAAAACGCCACGAGGGATAAATCCTTTCCTCCCGTTTTGACTTTCTCCAGACCACGGTCACAAATTAATGTAAGTATTCAGTGTTCACACCGTGCACCGTGTACGGTAGTTGGAGGTAATATTTTCGGCGGAGCGCGGGCAAACAATCACGGAGCTTAAGTTGGCCAACCTGATCGTTTTCGTAAGCCGGTGCGGCGAAAATGAAACGTAACTCAGTTCATAGCGTGTGTTGCCGACAGCGTTGAGCGTTTGTTTTGTTTACTACTCTAATGGTTAGTCAAGTACTAAATATTTCGCTGTAGTTCTGTCGTTATATTTGTAAAAGATTTTGTATATTTTTATGAAATTTAATGTTACAAATAAAATTTAATATTTCTTGTAGTACATTTTCTATTTAGTTTTGTGACAGTGTAACGCATACTCCGAAAACATGGTAAGACTTGAACAAATATTTACGTATAAATTAAATCCTATAAGTGATAACCTAGGTTTAACGTTTTAGACAAATAACTCATGTTAAAGAAATTTCAAACGTTAGCAAATATTATATTTGTTTTAGTCACCTTTTAATTCGTTGTATTTATTGGCAGGTTTGGGATGTAGAATTAATAAATGTATACTGTTTGGGTGGTCCTAAAAAGAAATATGTAATTTAGGTTTATGCCTAGATACTCGTTTTGTTCATCAATTCTGATGAATTTAATAAACCTATTAATTTAATTTGACTAACAAAAATGATCATAATATCCTTGAATATTTTTTAACTTTATAAAGCTGATTTTATTCTAGTGTTTTTCCCAATTGCAATTAATTGTATGTAGGTTATGAACAAATTTATGAAATACCTAATATTTTGGGTATTTACCTATTGTTTTTTTTACCATTTTCAAGTGTTTTAAAGTTAGGAAATTATATAAGTATATTTTAATTATGATTTTTATTAATTATAGCCGGTCACAAAAAATAATAAAATGATGCAGCACATCAATTACAGAGTGCGTGTCATATTACAAGATTCAAGAATGTTTATCGGCACATTTAAAGGTATTTTGTTAAGATCGAATTCATGTTATAAGGTTTTTATTCCAATTATTTATTTTTTTTTTTATAGCTTTTGATAAACATATGAATTTAATTTTGGCCGACTGTGAAGAATTTCGTAGATTAAAAAGTAAAGCTAAGGTACCTATGATCCCTGCAGAACCCAGAGAAGAAAAGCGTGTACTCGGGTTTGTTTTATTGCGTGGTCAAAATATAGTATCTATAACTATTGAAGGACCACCTCCACCTGAAGAAGGTCTTCCTAGAGTACCTTTGCCAGGTGCGGGTGGTGGTCCTGGATCAAGCCGTGCAGCTGGACGAGGAATGCCTTCTGTTATTCCTTCGGTTGCTACACCTGGTAATATTTATTAAAAATTTGATTTAATTTTATGATTCATTAATTGTCACCATTCAGTGTTGCCCATGATAGATAGTTATCCAATAAAAAAACAGAAATCAATTTTACAAGTCTCAGTATTTTTTTTTTTCAATAATTCATGTGCAACAAGTTTGGTTAAAACTGCTCCAGGTTTATCAGAATTTGACAACAAAATTAATATTAATAATGTTTTTTTTTTCTAATTTTCCCGTGATAGCTCTACTTATTTTTAAACATTACACTGTTTTGTATTATTATTAATCAATTAACCACGCCCATAAACAGCAAAAACCTTTGTAAAAATTATCTACAAAATACAAAAATAGTATTTGTAAACTAGCCATTTTGTGATGATAACTACAGTTGTGTTCAATATTGTACACATTTATACAATTTAACTATTTTGGATAGTTATAATCTTAATCTATACAATTTATTATTAGGTTGCTACAACATCATAAAATAACAATTATAGTTGGATTTTATTGGCAATATAAGTGTTTCCATTTTTTTATTTTTATTTTTATTATATTAATAGGTTTACAAGGACCAGTGAGAGGTGTCGGAGGTCCTTCACCTGCTGCCATGGCACCAACGAGAGGCGCTCCTGCTCAACCACCAATTAGAGGTCCACCATTGATGGCACCTCCACCAGGCATGATGCGTAAGTGCATAAGAAATTTGACATAAATTGAAACTAATATATTTATTTTTCTCAATGCAATGTTTATTATAATTTTAAATTTTGATTTTAGCTGGTATGCCACCAATGCCTGGTATGGGGCGAGGTGGACCACCACCAATGCCAACTAATAATATGCGCGGTCCTCCACCTATGATGAGAGGTAAGCAGTATTTTTTGTTAAAAATAACAAGAAAAATATTTAAATTTTTTTTTTTAGGTCCTCCATCTGGTGGCCCACGAGGTTATTAGTCAGTGACACAAATGATTCCAACTGGAGAATGATTAAACTTTACTAATTTCATTATTTATTGAATATTGTAAATTTTCTTCAGTTTAATACCTTTAATGACAACATAATCTGATTTTATAAATTGATGAATAAAATATTAGAAAAACAAAAAAAACAGATACATTTTACTTTTAGTTTATATCTGTATATTATTATTGATTAATATGTATGTTTATGAGTTTAATTTACTAGTTTTTGTGTATGTTCGGTACATTACAACCAAAAATTAGAATTATTATAAAACTACTTTTATGCATCGATATGACAAGTATTTATTACATTGCTCATAATTGTGTAAATACAGGACTATTATTCTAATGGCATAATGTTTTTCATCTTAAAACTAGTCTAATTAAAATATTGTATTTCAACAAGTTTCGAAAAATTGTCATATAATTATGTTATGTATTCATAAGAATTACAGTTTCTGTGTACATTTTTATTATATTTCTTTTAAAAAATTACATTTTTTATCTAATAATTTCCTTTAGATATTCAGATGTGAATAAAATAAAATATTTTACTGTATGTTATGTACATCAAAGTTTTCAAAATGTTTTGTATATTTATTTATTTAAAAATAACTGCTGTTTGTGTAATGATTTTAACTTACCAGAGACAAACCATTAAATATTGAATTTGCAATGACTAGAATAGTGAATATTTTATTAGATAATACTTAAAAGGATATTTATTAAAATCTGGTTTCATTCAATATTTTCTAATCATATTCATCTTGAAATTGAAAAAAAGTTGAGATTTTTTTGTTCACAATTATTTTAATTGAGATTTATAGAAAATATTATTTCTTTAAAACTTATGATTGCTGGTGTATTCATAATTCAACAACAGTTTTCATCAGTTTAATCATTCAGATAATTAAAATTTCAACATTTGTCTATTAGTGAATATTACAGAATTTAAAGTTTACCTATTTAGTTAAAAAATTTGTGATTATAAGACATCAATCCTATGTTGAAATTTTAGTGTGTCCACCAGACACTACACTCTAGCATCGTAGATATTCATTTTCATATAGTTACTAGATGGAAAATTGAATTAAATGTTCAGGTTTGGTTAACAGAATAAATAAATAAAAAAAAAAACCAGAAGAAAGCCAACAATAATATTTTAATTTTAAACTTAAGCTTAGGTACAAAGTGTATATTTATTTCTTTGATGTAAGAATTATTTGATTTTGAATAAAAATAGTTAATGGTAATTTGTTTGCTTGAAGGTATCATATTGTCTAAAATAAAACTCTACAACTATACAAATGAAACAATTTGAAACTGAATTATTAATTAAATTGTAAAAACTTAGTAATTAGAAATACTACAAGCAGCACGAGCAAGCAATTATTTAGATTCATTATGCTTTGGCAATAACAATGTTCTTTATATTATTTTATGTAAACATTTTTTATCTCCCAAAGAAAAGCTTGAATTGAATTTTAGGTAAATTGGTTTGCAACCATTTGTCTTTTTATTGCTGTTCTAATATAGCTTTGGTTTAATTACTTGACACCATATTTTATTTTTACATGCTGGGCATTTTGGTAAACTAAATTGATCTAATGGTGTTTAATTTAGAAAAAAATTGAATATTGTATACAATTTATCAACCTAATATCACTTATACAGTGTATAGAGTTTAGTATTTATTTTGCCCATCTATTTCTAAATTTCCTTTGGGACATTTGTTTTTTATAAAAAAAAAAAAATATCTATATCCTTAAATTTTGAGGCAATTAAGTTAATATTTGTTTGAGGTATATTATGTTAAAATATTTAATAACAAAAAATAAATAAATAAATGAAAATAGTGTATATACGACCATAGATTATTTAGAATTCATCTTTTTAGTAAAAATAAAGTAGCTACCTAGGTGCCTATTTTAATCCTAAATTTTTAATGTCTTATTTGATACCATTCATGGAGATTTGTTAATTTAAGACTAAGAAACACTAAGTTGTTTATTATTATAGTTAAGCTATAGTATTATTAACACTATTTTATAATTGTGAATCAATACGTTCAGTTTTACAAGAATTTCAAGGGGGGAGGGGAAATAAATTTGAATTGTCAAGTTTTTCGTGTTATCAAGGTTCGAGTAATTTTTTTTTTCTTTTATATACCTATTTTAAATTAAAATGTGGATAAAATTCGCATACCATGGTAGGTAGGTATCTACCTACTTCTGAATCAGCTATAGGTACTTAGCACATCAAATTACCCAGGTAGGTACCTACACAGTGGCATGCACAGACTTCTTCAACAGTCTCTGTTTACTTACACGAATATTTCAATGTGTGTAACACATTATATTATTATAATTAATTATCCAGTATCCATTTTGGAAACCATTGGGAAATGGAAACGTGAAATAATTTTGCTTCTAAAAATAAGTGCGGATTGGATTTTGTATTATTTAAGTTATTTTAAAATAAAATAATTAAATTATATTGTAGTATAATTATTATAAGTAACCTAATTAACATAAACAATTCCTAATCCAATCTTAATAACCATTTCTTTCATATTTTTAGGAACACGTGAATTAGAATATTAAATTAGAGTTGTGAATTTTATGTGATGAAAAACCTTAAAAATGACATTAAAAATTAACAAAACATGTAATAAAATATGCATTTAAAGTCTCAAAAAATGCAATATAAAATGCACTTAAAATTTTAATTTAATTTTTATATTTATTTTGATATTACATATATTAGTATATTATATACATATAACTTCATTTATTTAATAAAAAAAATGTAATTAAAAAAAATTATAATACAGCTTGTGTAAACAAAAAAATTGTATGTAAAAATGTTAACTGACGGAATTCAATAAAAATACCAGAAAATGTAATTAAAAATTAAAATATGACTTAAAAAATCCAAAAAATGACCTTAAAAATTAAAAACGTTAAAAAAATGCAGAATAAAAGTTTAATAAATTAATTTGTTGTTACACAATTCAAATTATGTATTTAGAAATCTACGTTTCACAATCAGTTTAAAAAAAAATACACTTTCCTACAAATTCACAGTCCTAATTTTAATGCATATATGGCTTAGAAGTTATTTTTTTAGGAGGCCCCCCAAAATTCAACCCTGGATCCGTCACTGACTACTTTTATTTATGGATGATCACTAAATTTTGATTGCCTACTTAAATACAAAGTTTGTAATTTACTGTTTTTGTTATGATGAAAAACGAGGAAAAATAAATTACCTATTACCTATCTATAGGTAATAGGTACGTGGTAATATTTCGGCATGGCCCCGTTTTACGGTCTCTGAATTATATTTGAACTTTTTTTATTTTTGTGCAAGTGTTCACTGAATCGAATTGGTATTATTATTACGACGCCTAGGGTATACGTCTAACAGGTATAATAATGGGGTCGATTTTCGATTACAATATTATATATCGTAATGGTATAAGCCATGAGAGAGCTATAAAAAACTGACGTTGTGGCGTGAACAAATTAGTTGCAGGCTTGAAACGTTTATTGTACGTCTCTTGGTAAAACCGAAATGGCGCCTCTGAATTTCGGTATTAATATTATTATTGCTGTTGCCTGTTTGTATCGTGATTTACGACAGTTTTCTAAATTAGGTGAAAACATGATTTTTTTTTATTGTATTGTCGGCGCTTTTGAACGACCGCATCCCAACAAAAGAAAAAAAGTAGGTTAATGTCGGATGGCTCGTTTTGACAATTTAATATTACTATTATACGTATTGAAAATCTTCAGAATGTTTTTTTTTTTTTTTTTTAAAAACTAAAACTTGTAAAAAGCTATACGTGTTTTTTTCTACTGTCGGGTCTACTAAAATAGGCATTACGACGGATTGGTCTTGACAAAGAAAACTATCAATATATTACACAATGTACCATCATATTAATACCTATTACTTATGTTATGGACCATGTGCAAACTGCAAGGTGACTTTAAAGTGTAAATGACTTAAACTTGGTAATCGATAAAAACAAGGGAACTATTACAGTTTTTCCCCTGCAGCTCTTCATAGGCATACGAAGTAAGTACTTATACCGCTTTAGGGTTATTAGAAAATAAAATACCATTTTTGATGTTACTTATAGTTATTTTTGAAATTATCTATTCTTGTTATGTTGTTTTCTGTTTTTACACGTCACACGTTGATACAAGTTTTTTGATAAGTGTTGTTTAAAATTTCAGTTTATTAGAAAACGTGTAACAACCGCAAACGTATTGCGTAGTTACTACGCCGTAGTGGATAGGTCTACTAAAGTACTGCTCGAACGTTTCCCATATATGTCAATAAAACTCCTTTGGTAGGAAACGTAGAAATACCCAACAATTGAATCCGAGGTTTCATCGCGAGTTGTATTTAGGGATAAAAAGAAATTAAGTAGTGGGTCCCGTTTAATCATTTCCCGGTATAAAATGAGGAGCCGGCACGCATCTGGTTATCTACGCTGAACAATTAAAACGCATTTTTTTAACGTCACAAATCACAATACGAAAACTGCAAAAACAAAAGTAATTTCAAAACTTTATTCTGACCTACTAAGATTAATTATTAAAAAAAGGAAAAAAAAAATGTTTATCGTGCTGTCATTTTGATTAATAATTTCGTGAATAATGTACAAACTGTAGATTAATATAATAATTGGGTTTAAATATCGCCTTCGTATTCTTAGGAAAATAATAATAATAATAATTGCACTGAAATAAACAGCAGAGCTTTTGTTGTTTAAATATTTTGTGATACAAAGGTTTTGTATCACAAAATGAGTTAGGTTGGTTCGTACCTATCTAAATTGTAATTTATTGAAGTACCGTTTATTAAAGGGCCCGGACACTGATGAGAGTTACGCAGAATAACACGCACGGCATATGCTGCCCGAAAACGTGACGGTCATCTTCACAATCAAAGTATGACCCAGTCTGTAAAATTCAATTCACTATCAGAAACTCACAAATCCCACTGGAATTCCGTCCGGAAATTCTCGGTAGGCCTGTTCGCCCATTTATTATTGTCTATCTCAGTGATTAACTAGGATGATCGTAGAGTATGTCTTACTTACGATTTAAGACAAATACCGATTTAAGTATATTAGGTATCTTAAACCATGGTCTTGCTATACACGGGGAAGGTGGCCGCCACGTTTTTCGTTTTTGTTTACTTCGGGAGTGTCACTTTTGATTCTATACTGTTATTTCCTACTACTATTTTCTATGCAATTACATAGAAAATTAATAAATCCAATAGAACACTCTGTATGTACACCAATATACACTCTGTATATTGTTTATTATTATATTTCGTTTCATTATTTCAAAAAAACGAAATCCCAACTTTATAAATTGTATAAGTAGGTACTTACAGTGGCGTAGCCAGGAGGGTTTTGGATGTTGTAGCCTCCAACTCATTGTTTTTTTTCAGCTTTAGGTGAGGCTAAGAAGATAGTAGATTCCTTAATCCCCCCTCCGCATCGATAAATCCTGGCTACGCCACTGGCAACCTATATTTTTTTGAATAATCATCACAACATGTATTTACAGTATTATTATATGTCATCTTTACAATCATCGTAGCTGTTTCGGTACCTATAGTAATAA